TGCGCAAGGAGCTCCCACAGTCGTGATGGCGACGTAGCATTGCCAGTGAAGCGGCAGCTCGCTCCCACTATTGCGATGGGCTCATGGATGGGTTGCTTGTAAGGCATGATGCGATCGCTTGCCGTTGCAAACAGCGCGATGTGGCGGTGAGATACGACAAGATTGATCGACGACAAAAAGTCCGACTGATGACAATAAATGGGACCGTAGATAGTCTATGAGTGGAGGATAACCTCCGAAGGTAACGCAGATGTGCAACGATCAGTTCGCGATATTGCAACAAATGATGCGAGGTTTGGTGTTGTATGGATGAGCGCAGGAAGAGGCAAGAAGGAGTGCGGAATTTTCAGAACAGAGAAATTTCAGGTCCCACTTCAAAAGATGAACAATGAAGCTGCAGAACAGTCATGTGAATGTTCACTCTTTTCACATCACAGTACCTTAGGTTGTGAGTGATAGTTCGCAGGAAGGAGGACCTTGATGAACAATCCGCCTGTTCATCAACCAGCTCACATGATCATCCGAACTAAATGCTAGGCACCAACATACACAGGACAGCCAGTGGACTCAAATTCTCAGATCCTCTACCTTCCTTATTGGCAGTTACTTGGGCCATCTACTTGACCGTACTCGTGAAGCCTTGGCTTCTGATGCTCTCAATTAGGTACTCATACGAACGACAGGATAATTGTCCTGAGAGACACATGGAGTAATCGAGTTCAGCTTGCTGTCATAATCCGCACTCCTTCTACCTGTCTTGCCCCATGCTTACATATTAGGTATGTCCCAACTCGTTGGAACATGACGGTTAGCTGAGTTGGGTTGCTTTGGAAAACGCACACATGTTCAACTCACAGTAGAAAATGGTTCATCGTTGACCAACTCTGGAGGGCGGACCACTGCATATCAACTTGGTCATATGAAGGCAGAATGGTTCCAAAGATACAAGCTGATATCGATTTCTTGAAGCACTCGACTTTATGGTCTTCCTGCCTTGCGTGACCTCCGTATCCATTTCACCTCTAATGTGCATCTTCTCATCCATCATTTGACACACATTCTCTTGGACATGTAAGGCGTCGTGTTCCCCTCGATCCCTTAAAGACAAGAGAGGAGGCGAAGGGCTTTAGACGTACAGCCCGAAGCGGATTCGATACAGCCCAAGTAAGCGATGCCGAGATAATAGAAAACTACGATGCGAAGATACTAGTAGTGAACAAAACATCCAATATTCAAAGAGTTACTGCGTCAATTCAGGAACATTGCAGCGAGCTCTTTCACTCACTACTCCTTAACATCAGGTCTTGAAGTGCGGGTTATTATCATCAGGCTACATATGTTGCACATCAAGTTGGACCTGGGCCACCGGGCCATAAATGACGAGCCGCGTTGATAAATGTATGTACAGAATGAAAGACAGCAGTGAAGCGCACAAAGCTGAGCCGTAATGAACCTTTAAATGACCATCTCATGTTGGAAAGCCCAGGCCTGTTAAAAGGTACAAGTTGTAGGAGCGTAGAGCACCAGCCAATGCCATGGTTGAGACACCAACGACGACCCCGAGCCCCGCTTATACCTTTTCATCGTATCCAGACGCTGTAATTTAGAGGAACATCACCTCCAGTAAATTCCTAGAACTCTTCACTTCGTAAGATCCTTGTCCATCTTTACTCCTTACCATCGATTCGCAACCCCGACATGTAAGACAAGGTACAAGGTACTTGGCAGACGAAGAATAGGGGTTTTGTTTACTTGCTGACGTCGAAAACGGAAGCGTACCTTAGCCGATAAAGTAACGGCCTATGATTGGTGGAAATGCTCATTTTGCCCCACTTCTGCCAAGAACCGACCGGAGCCGTCTGTCCCTGACGGAGCGGACGGAGATCAGAGCCATGAGCTGTTCACCAATTCCAAAACCCTGCAGAGATTGGGCTTCCGGCGTGGCCAAATGGCATCAATAGCATTCATTGAAAGAAAGCTTTGGAGGTTTCAACGATCTGGACTGCCAGAGACCAATGAGCTTTCCTTAACCGTAGCAGCCCACCTGTTTCCGAGTTGCTTAATGCCGATTGTTCAAGCTGGCGTTGGGGCATCAGAACGCTCAGCTAACACACCTAACCATGGTCTGCTCCTTTGACTCCGCACGGAGTACCCTAAGCCTCAATCAGGAATAGGAAGACAGCCACGGACGACTCCCCGTGAAAATGCATCCCAATTTAGGATAGCTGCAGCTTCAAGAGCAGAGACGATCTATTTCACCATGCTAAGGTATCCCTAACCTGTGCGATAAACAAATACAAAAAAATTCAGGCCCATACTCCATAACCCCTTCCGCTGATGCGCCAATTCTCTCCTTTGTCCAAGCGCTGATCAGCCACTCCAGCTAGGATTCGCCCTTTACGCGTCGTCGGGGACGTCACCAGTCGCGAACAGCTCGAGGAAGATCCGGCTCTTGTCAACGTCCATACCCATCAAGGCGTGCCGAACATCGATCATGAACGTCTCCGGGCCGCAAATGAAGTACTCGGCCCGGGGGTTGCTGAGGAAGAGATCGGCCTCCTTGTCCAGCTTGGCCAGGTCGAGGCGCATGTCACCGAACTCATAGTGCTCGCCCTCGCGGTCCTCGGGACCGAGGTTACGCAGGAAGACATTAGCCTTCACGTTTTTGTTCTCCCGGCAGATCTGACGGACTGCGTCGCCGAAGGGCTGCATCGCGCTCGAGCGGGACGAGTGAATCCACGAGACTGGCCGCTTGACCGCCGGCGGCTGGCGACCCGGCGCGGCCGTCAGGCTGTCGAGGATGGACTTGAGCGGGGTAGCGCCGACGCCGGCCGAGATCAGCACCGCAGGAACGCCCTCCTTGCTGATATCGCTGGGGTCGACGAAAAACTCGCCCTGCGGGTGCGACAACTCGACCTCGTCGCCGACGTTGTACTTGGCGTGGAGTATGTTGGAGATGAGGCCCGGAATGCCCGTCTCCGGGCTGTCCTCCTTCTTGACGCTGATCCGGTAATACTCGAGCTTCTCGGTCGGGCCCTCGCTCAGGCTGTACTGCCTACTCTGCAGGTAGCCCAGCTCCGGGACGGGCACCTGCAGGCTGACGTACTGGCCCGGGAGGAACTTGGGCAGCGGCGTCTGGCCGTCGCTCGGCGCGAGGTAGAAGCTGGTGATGACGCTGCTTTCGGGCACCTTACGCACGATGCGAAATTTGCGCCAGCCGACCCAGTTGTGCGCCGCGGCGGTCTTGTACATCTCGGCCTCGCGGTTGATGAACACCTTGGCGAGGACGCCGTACGCGGCAATCCAGGCGTCGACGATGTCGGGGGTGGCGGCATCGCCAAGTACCTGCCCGATGGCTTGGATCAGGTACTTGCCAACGATGTCGTATTGCGCCGGGGTGACCTGGAGCGAGACGTGCTTGTGGGCGATGCGCTCGACGGCGTGCGTCAACTTCGCCAGGTCGTCGATGTATGTGGCATAGGCGAGCACGGCGCCGGCGAGGGCCCTCGGCTGCCGACCGGTGGTCTGGCTGGTGGTGCTGAAGACGTTGTGGAGCTCAGGGTTTTCCCGAAGCATGTTGTTGTAAAACACGGTGGTGATGGTGACGCCGTGTTCCTTGAGAACCGGCGCCGTCGCCTTGACGATGGCGAGCTGGCTTTCTGTGAGAGGGGCGGCCATGGTAGAGCAAGTGCTTGTGGCAATCTTCTCAGAAGGTTCTGTGTTGTGATTGTCCACGAGAGTGAGGTTTGTTTTGTCCTGTCCGGTTTCACGGTCTCCGATATCTTCGATACCTTGGATATTTGTGGGGAAGTGCGGATGATAAAACAATGCCGATCCACCACCTTCATCAACTGCCGCACAGGACACTGGAGGTATTTATCTTCCCCTCGCTTTCTTCAAACAACTTCTGTTCCAGATAGGACACCCTTCGCCAGACATTTTCGCTCTTCATGGCAGGGCCTCGCCTCGCCTGACGTTCAAGGCGACAGTGGAACCACCGGTTGTCCCGTACGATCAACTTAAAGTACGCATCTCCGAGGGCCGAGAGATGGCATTCCAGGCTCTTAAGGCCCTCTTTAGCTGCGGGATCACAGCAGGATGACAATTGGGACGCCTGCAATTTGCCGAATGGGGCAGTTACACCCACCATTTTGCGTGGCACCGACCCGGCCATCAGCTCACAATTGATAACAGAATCTGCTGAGTCAGCGGGTCCCAGAGATGTTGACCTGCGTCCCGAAAGCCCTAACATCTCCGCGGCGGGAACACCCGCATTTCGGGATGTTGCGGTGGCTTCTGGGGCATTTCTGGAGTTTCAAGGCCCAAGCATGACAAGGCAGGGTTCGAAAGTTCGATAACTATTGCAGAAGGAGACGGACCCTTCGGCCAAATATCGTCTGATGAAAAGCCGCAGGCGTGGATCAGCAGACTTTTCGCGAGTCCAAGGAGGGTCTAGCCAGGTCCGGGGTATCATGGCGAGGGGACAGTCTCGGCCCGAGACTCGGGCCCAGAGTCCAGAGCAGGCACAGCAGGGCTTTGACGGGAACTACCAGCGGGGAACAAACTGCCTTGCCTGGCGCGCCTGGAAACCACCGGTGAGCGACAAAGAAGAAACGCATCGTTCGGCACCCAAGTCGATGGTTCAATCGGCCGCGCAGCTACCTACCTATTATTGGAACTTTATCAGTTTGTGTAGATGTCGGAGGTAGTTTCGCGCCGATAACTGTTGCAGCTGCGTACTTCAGGGTTAGGGTAAGATCCATTGAACCGCGATGAATGAGATTATGAGAGTTCCGAGACCGAGGCGCCACCTCGAGCACGGCATAACAGAAGCGCGGAAGAGATCGGAACGGATTCCATTACGAAAATCTTTTCTCTCTTAACCACGTTGTCATTCTCTCGGCTATTCAGCAAGTTCTGGCTTTCCACAGCGAAACCCAGCGATCCCTCTTCGCCACGGGTTCCATGGATGGTCCAAGTGGAACCGCATAAACCACCAAGGTTCGCTGGCTCAATGGCAGAGCGTCTGACTACGAACCATCTCAATAGTTATCGCTTGAGATCGGGTAATCAGGAGGTTCCAGGTTCGACCCCTGGGTGTGCTTGACTTCTTTTGATCTCTCGGAATACGGTTTACCTTTTTTTTTCGTGACGTCCAACTCTCCTTTTCCCGCTTGGACATGTCGATATGGAGCAATCCCCAGAGTGGCAAGGAGGGATGGCGAGGGCTGCAGGGTCCGCATTATTGAGCGTGTTAAGAACGTCGTCTTGGGTTCGACATCGCACATATGAGAGCGCGGCAATGCCTTCAATGCCTCTGACTTGTTACAAAAGGCGGTGATCCGCAACACCTAGACATTTGATCTTTACTGTCAGTCGCCATTCGAAGTCGCGCTCTTCTTACCTTGTTGGTGCTTCCTCCTTATCAACAGCGGTAGACACAGCAAGGGACAGATCTCCTGCTAGACCTGAGTCGCCAATGTAGGTTTAGGCCGGGAAACAGCGCGGTCGATCGAGTAATACTTATGGCTGGGTGCCCTTTGCATGCCAGAGCCCAAATCAGACCACGTTTTTGATGGATATCGCAGTGCTGTTCGTCCTCAATGAAGCTGTTCAACCGAGGGGAAAGGCGTTGAGTCAGGAATATACAGGAAGCCTCAGATATCACCCCATATCGGCAAGAGTTTATTCATGATGGTGAAGTATTGTGCCGAAGCCAGGAGATGCTACTGTCTGTAACCCAAGGCACTGAAGTATGCCAGCCTCGTGCGTGGTGTGCAGACTTTGAGGCCCCAAGGAACCAGGATACTGAGGCTGTTGGTGTCTGTTGTGTCAAGCATCAGAAGTTCTATTTATGAATCAAGTAAACTGCAGAGCCAGAGAAAAGAGCCATGTCTACCTGAGGAGCATACAAGACCTCCGAGGTGTTTTGTTGAGTAGTAGTAGTACGTACATCATATCTGTTATCCTTCCCTTCCACCATGTCGCTCTCGTTTCTCCTCCATTCTCCGGTCCATTGTGTGTTCCACTCTTGGTTTGATATTCAAGCTCTTCCTTCGTGTTTCCATGTTTACCATACCCGGTGCCTGGGAACACCTTCCTTGTTGACCGGCCGCGCACATGGATCACTTCGCCCACCTCACTTGTTCCTTCCACTAAGATCGTAAATGGTAAGTGCTACTTACGTGCCACGGAGTCATGCTCATACTTTAGCTCCCTGCGTATGCATGCTATTAGACTTTTCTGTCTTCATTTTGCCCTGTTTCGCGGCATAACAATACTGCTCCCAATCAATACAGCAGCCTGTTTCCAAGTACTTTAGTGTTACGCCGAAGATGCTTTCGGGTGGTCATCTTCCAGACCAACAGTACAGGGAATTCCAACTCCCAGGTGGCCGGCCTCTGAGACCAGGAGACCTCGACAATCTGTCCCCGCAGCAGAAGCACGACGAAATCGTCAAGCGCGCAAAATATCTGGTCAATGATGACGTGGTGGTACCGGCCCATATACAGACGGCCCACATGGCTATCCTGCAGGCCGGCCGCCTCTGGCAATATGAGTCCCAAGAGAAGTAAGTGCACAGTCTTAAACCGGTGATGTAAGTATGTGCTCTAGACGCTCACGGAAATCCAGGATATATCAAAGCATCAGCAACTTGCCATACCCCGTGCCATCAGTCTCTGACCACATCTGGAAACGTGGTCCGCAGCCGCCATCGGACTCGCTGTATCTCGACTTGATTCCCAGGATCCACGACGAAGAATTAAGGTTCTACGATTTCCGGCCAATGAGCAACGTGTTCAATGGCACCCACTTCCTCAACATGCTACGGGCAACCCACAGGATGTCATTCCGTGGAAGGCTGAACGAGCACGGGGTGATAATTGACAAGGTAGTGCACTTCGGCAGGAAGGCTGTTCCCGGCGAAGCCTCCGAATTTCTCGGCATCGCACCACCAACGCCGACGATGGAGGACAAGAGGAGAATGTTTGTTTGGAGCGTTGCGTGGACCCTCGGGGTCCAGGCTGTGACGCACTACGTGCCACCTCATGACGACAAGTACCTTGAGGAGGGCATCATCAAGATAGACAAGCACACACTCGTCTTTGACACGACATTCAACAACAGCATCCTCCGGGTTATCCAGGAGGCGAACCTCAACCCGGGTGTTATCATCAAGCAGTTCAGGTACTGGCGGGACGGAGCGGACGAGGATGCGAGATACATGGATCACGTTCGCATAACGTGAGTTTACCCCTGATTGCCCAGGGCCGAACTGCCCAATCAGGCTGTTCACTGGATGTCATTGACTGATGCGTCCTTCATCTCAGTGAATATGGCCCCACCCACTGGTTGACGGAGTACTACGAGGTGTTCTCTTCTCATCCCGGCAGCGGCTTCGTCGCTTGCTATCCGGCCATCTACATCCAGAAGCGCATCCCGGTGAAGCCGGTGTTCAAGTGGCCGCCTCGGCGGCTTCCTAGCCCAGAAACATTATTGAAGCTGCGAGGCTGGTAAAGTCGCGGCCAAAGGGAACAACTCGAGGGCTGTGTTGTGTGTTCCTTCAGGGCAACAGTTCCTAGGCGGTACAGCCGTACTTCGCGGGAACTGCAATGTCGGAGTCTGTGTGGGACAGAGTTGGGGGTCGGACAGCCGATGGCGTTGAACGTGGCCTACCCAGGATATGGTTAACGCTTCGTGCTTCAGTGGTTCTTTGTTTATATGGCGTATGGGCGGCGAACACTCGCAAGTTAACAAACATAAGGTAGACTTAAGCCTGAAATGCACTTTGCATCAAACAGAATGCTTCATGTCCAGGGGTTCCATGTCATGCATGCCCCGCTTCAGGTGTTGGTGGGGCCCGGTGCGTTCAGAACGCGTCTTCGCGTCACCCGCGTCAAGGCCTTTGTTCCCGCAAGTTCCATCCACCATCAACCCATCCGCCGCCTTCGACAGCAGAAGTCATCCGGCCGAAGAGATACGAGTCATCCCTGAGTTCTTGAATAGGCAGTCTTTTCACACTTCAGAAAACTCGACAGCATGACAGTACCAGAGAGCGATCCGCCAACCTCGGCTCCTGCAGCAACCCCGCGATCCAACACCCGGCACGAAGAATACCAGTACCTGGACCTCGTGCGCGAGATTCTTGATCAGGGCGAGCTCCGTCAGGACCGGTATACTTCTCGTCGCCCATATACTGAATTTTCATCCACTAATCCCAGCGCTGCTTCAGAACCGGCACCGGCACCTACTCCATCTTCGCCCCACGCCCCCTCAAATTCTCCCTCAACCGCGACGGCACCCCTATCCTCCCACTCCTGACCACAAAACGCGTCTTCACCAAAGCCATTATCGCCGAGCTGCTGTGGTTTATCTCCGGAGACACCTCCTCGCACACCCTGTCCTCGCAGGGCGTTAGGATCTGGGATGGCAATGGCTCGCGCGAGTTCCTCGACAGCCTGGGCCTGACAGACCGCGAAGTTGGCGACCTTGGACCTGTATACGGCTTCCAATGGCGGCACTTCGGGGCGCAATACGTCGACGCCAAGACAGACTACACCGGGCAAGGGGTCGACCAGCTGGCGCGGATCGTGCACACGCTGCGGACGAACCCGTTTGACCGGCGGCTGGTGCTGAGCGCGTGGAACCCGGCAGACATGGCCAAGATGGTACTGCCGCCGTGCCACATGTTTGCGCAGTTCTACGTCTCGTACCCCGGGTCCCGGTCCCGGTCCCGTTCACAACAACAACAACAACAACAACCCCAACCCTCCTCTTCCTCTGACAGCAACGGCCAACCAACAACAACACCCCCCAAAGGCCACTTGCACTGCCAGCTCTACCAGCGCTCCTGCGACATGGGTCTTGGCGTGCCGTTCAACATCGCCAGCTACGCGCTGCTGACACACATGCTGGCGCACGTGTGCGACCTGGTGCCGGGGAGCCTGACCCACGTCATGGGCGACGCGCACGTCTACCTGAACCACGTGGAGGCGCTTGAGACACAGCTCGAGCGGGAGCCCCGCGAATTTCCCGAGTTGGAGATTAAGAGGGAAAAGGGCGGGAGTATTGATGGGTGGAAGCCGGAGGATTTTGTGATTAAGGGGTATAATCCGCATAAGACCATTGCTATGGAGATGTCAGTCTGATGGAAGGGGGGTGGTAGATTAAAGGCCTGTTGGGGGCGAAGGATGGGATGATGGACTTCCATCACTGGATATACGCTTGGACGGAACAGTATATGGGGCAGGATAGAGCAGAGCAACTAATGTTACTGTTCGATAGTGTGTTGTACGAAAGATGTAGTGATCTACATACCTCTTTGATGGGATTACTGAAGCATCGATTCTAACCAGGGACTCGAGAGGTGTGTAAGGTGAGGGTATCAACCTCCTAGGCCCGGCTGCACTGAATTGTGAGGACTTCCGGTCTTCGCCCGCTGCTATCTTCGGAAGCTCTTGTCACAGTTCTCACTCATTGCCCCGCAAATTCTGAAGACAGCGCAGCAGGGTCTTTGTTCGTACCCATGGGTCCTTTTGCAGATCCATCAGTCTCTGTCTGATGGCTATCTAACGCAAGGCACTCCTCGTCCCATTGTCTCGTGTAGCCCCCTGTAGAGCCCCTAGGTCTCTATCACTCCTTGTTGAACCGTACAAAGACCGCAATCACCTTCGTCCCTGTCTCTGACTACGCCAGATTTTTGAAAGAAAAACCAGATGTGAATGAACTTCTCGCAAACGCATCACGAAATCCCAATGGTATCACTGTCAGAATCACCATCAAGCAACAGGCTTGGGATGAACCGGAACCTCCTTGGTCTCCGTAAAGTGTCTCGGCAGCCGGTTCTCGCCTTCGGCATAGGGGAAGCCGGCCTCCTCACGAGCCATGTCGTTGACCCACCGCTCGTTGCCCTTGAGGCCGCCCTTGCCGTGCTTCTCGACGCCCACCTCGTTCCACTTGGCAGCGAGGTAGAACCAGGCGAGGGCGTTTCCGACGGTGCCGACTTCGTCCGACACACCGGTGCTCGCGGCGTGGCTCATCCTCTTCCAGAGCTCATCGTCGGTGAAGAGGTCCATCAGGTGGCTGGCGACAGCCTTCCAGTCAC